CGTTGAACTGGTTGTAGACGTAGGCTTGGTGGTGCTAGTCTTCGAAGTACTCTTAGTAGAACTGGTTGAAGTGGGCTTCGTGCTAGAAGTGCTCTTGGTAGAACTCGTCGAGCTGCTCTTCGTTGAACTGGTCGTAGACGTAGGTTTGGTAGTGCTAGTCTTGGTGGTACTCGTGGTGGGTTCTGGGGTGGTAGTTTCGTCAGGCGGCAAGAAGTCACATTGGCCTATTCGATTTGCACAGTCCTTGGGTCCTGCCCAGTTGAGGGCAGAGTGCCAGATGCATCGGACGACGTTGTTGCAAGTAACACAGTCGTAGAGTGGTGGAATACCAGCTCCTGGAGACATACAGACACGCGAGGTTTCACTATTGCAAACATCAAAGTCGATAGTGGATCGATCCTGATCATACATCCAAATTTTAGTCGCCGTGGCACCCTCATACTCCTCATAGTTCTTAAGGACACAAGTATTATTCGCACGATCAATTTGCCAACCCACACAGGTAGATTCATCCTGGCATGCAATATGACACTCCGCCGGACTGCCTACAACCTGTACATTGTACCCCTCAGGTGCATCTGCCGCGTTGTAACCGAAAATCAAGTTGTCGAAACAACCGGCTAACAAGCAATCCTGCTCACAACCACGAGACCATTCCGCACCACTCGTCACGCCTGACCTACACAAGTCGAAACATGTCGCAGACGAAATCGAGTTCTCATCCAACGAACAAGTTGTGTCGCACGGAGTAGTAGTCCACCCTACAAAACAAATCTGACCCTAGTCTCACTCCGTTCCGTGGTCTTAAACCCTCAGCCTACCTATTGACCAAAGAAGAACCGCACGCTTCATGGTGGGCTATCTTGCATGTGCTATTGGGGGTAGCTACGGGGTGCAAGCAATCCAATTTTGGGCAGTATACAATGCAATCAAGGCCGTACCCATTATCTTTAACACCGTACCCATTACCTTTAAGGCTGTTCTCATTACCTTCAGCGCATTTACTCATCGGAACATTAGCGATCGGACCTTAAGTGATTGGACCTACACTTCACCGGCTCTCAGTGGTCGGACATCCTACTGGCTAAACCTTTACTCATCCGGCCGCAGGGACCGGATCTCTTGGTAGGCTCTCACTGGTCGTGCTGGCGAAGGACCCTAATACGTGGCATTAGATTATGGCCGTATATAGCGGTCGGTCTTAGACCGTGGTCGTATAC